TTTGAAAGGGTCCTAAGAAGCAAGATCACCACCCATCTAGAAACCCATCAGTTACACAACCCAGGGCAACATGGGTTTAGAACAGGTCGCTCCTGTCTGTCTCAACTATTGGATCACTACAACAAGGTCCTAAATGCACTAGAAGACAAAAAGAATGCAGATGTAATATATACAGACTTTGCAAAAGCCTTCGACAAGTGTGACCATGGCGTAATAGCGCACAAAATGCGTGCTAAAGGAATAACAGGAAAAGTCGGTCGATGGATCTATAATTTCCTCACTAACAGAACACAGAGAGTAGTCGTCAACAGAGTAAAGTCCGAGGCAGCTACGGTGAAAAGCTCTGTTCCACAAGGCACAGTACTCGCTCCCATCTTGTTCCTCATCCTCATATCCGACATAGACAAGGATGTCAGCCTCAGCACCGTGTCTTCCTTTGCAGATGACACCCGAATCTTCATGACAGTGTCTTCCATTGCAGACACTGCAAGGCTCCAGGTGGACATCAACCAAATCTTTCAGTGGGCTGCAGAAAACAATATGAAGTTCAACGATGAGAAATTTCAATTACTCAGATATGGTAAACATGAGGAAATTAAATCTTCATCAGAGTACAAAACAAATTCTGGCCACAAAATAGAGCGAAACACCAACGTCAAAGACCTGGGAGTGATCATGTCGGAGGATCTCACCTTCAAGGACCATAACATTGTATCAATCGCATCTGCTAGAAAAATGACAGGATGGATAATGAGAACCTTCAAAACTAGGGAGGCCAAGCCCATGATGACACTCTTCAGGTCACTTGTTCTATCTAGGCTGGAATATTGCTGCACACTGACAGCCCCTTTCAAGGCAGGTGAAATTGCCGACCTAGAAAATGTACAGAGAACTTTCACGGCGCGCATAACGGAGATAAAACACCTCAATTACTGGGAGCGCTTGAGGTTCCTAAACCTGTATTCCCTGGAACGCAGGCAGGAGAGATACATGATTATATACACCTGGAAAATCCTAGAGGGACTAGTACCGAACTTGCACACGAAAATCACTCACTACGAAAGCAAAAGACTTGGCAGACGATGCACCATCCCCCCAATGAAAAGCAGGGGTGTCACTAGCACGTTAAGAGACCATACAATAAATGTCAGGGGCCCGAGACTGTTCAACTGCCTCCCAGCATACATAAGGGGGATTACCAACAGACCCCTGGCAGTCTTCAAGCTGGTACTGGACAAGCACCTAAAGTCAGTTCCTGATCAGCTGGGCTGTGGCTCGTACGTTGGTTTGCGTGCAGCCAGCAGTAACAGCCTGGTTGATCAGGCTCTGATCCACCAGGAGGCCTGGTCACAGACCGGGCCGCGGGGGCGTTGACCCCCGGAACTCTCTCCAGGTAAACTCCAGGTAAAGAACAATAATTGTCAAGGTATGTTAGGAAAATACTCAAAAAACAAGCTAGCTTATATGCAAGTACGTACTGGTAAAAACTTGGGAATTGGTCTACAAATATAGAGAGACATAAGATCAACAAGACAAAAACTTCCTTAATATCTTCTATATAAATAGCTGGACTGCAGAAAATAAAATAGGTCAGCTGTGACATAAACTTAAATACATTTCAGAACACCAGCATGTCAGCAGGGTGAACATTTTGAACAGTGCCTTTGTAGTCCAGTGAAATTCTTGAAATCATTTGACAAATTGGAATAAGAACACAAGAATGGAGAAATACTTGCAGCAGGCCTGCTGCTATGCATTGCCTCAAATCTAGCATTTCTCTCTCATGAGAAGGAAGCACAGTTGGTTGCCAAGCTTGGTCTCCAAGTGAAATGAATAATATACGGTGGTACCTTGACTTACGAGTTTAATTCGTTCTGTGACTGAGCTTGTAACTCAATTTGCTCGTGTATCAAATAAATTTTCCTCATTGAAATTAATTGAAATGACATTAATCCATTCCAGCCCCCAGAAAACCACCCCAATTTTTTTGTTACAGGTTTTTAAATAAGAAAAATGTATTTATAAATAAGAAATATTGTATACTCCACCCACCACCTTCACTACTCCACCCACCACCGGTGGCCTGGCTGGTGGCCCGGTGGCCTGGTGGCTAAAGCTCCCGCTTCACACACGGAGGGCCCGGGTTCGATTCCCGGCGGGTGGAAACATTTCGACACGTTTCCTTACACCTGTTGTCCTGTTCACCTAGCAGCAAATAGGTACCTGGGTGTTAGTCGACTGGTGTGGGTCGCATCCTGGGGGACAAGATTAAGGACCCCAATGGAAATAAGTTAGACAGTCCTCGATGACGCACTGACTTTCTTGGGTTATCCTGGGTGGCTAACCCTCCGGGGTTAAAAATCCGAACGAAATCTTATCTTATCTCTTATCTTACTACACCCACCACCCTCACTGTTCCACCTCCCACCATATCTACTCCACCCACCACCATATCTACTCCACCCACCACCCTCACTACTCCATCCACCATGATCTCTACTACACCCACCATCGTCACTACTCCACCCACCATTATCAATACTCCATCCACCACCCTCACTACTCCACCCACCACCATATCTACTACACCCACCATTATCATTACTCCATCCACCACCATCACTACTCCACCCATCACTATCACTACTCCACCTGCCACTATCACTATCCCACCCACCACTGTCACTACTCCACCCACCACTATCAGGACTCCACCCACCACCATCACTACTTCACCCACCACTATCAGGACTCCACCCACCACCATCACTACTTCACCCACCACTATCATTACTCCACCCACCACCATCACTACTTCACCCACCACTATCAGTACTCCACCCCTCCTACTGATGTTGAAATGGAGGTTACCTTATCCCCTGATTTATACGAGAACCAAAGAAGAGACAAGATGCCTCACTACAATCTGGGATTAGTATGGGAGTATTATCCTTCCAGTTATGTGTTGGAAGAGCATGTGAGGTGGGATGAAGTACCTGACATTCCTCTGGGTACGGAGTTGGATTTGACTTCAGATATGCCGCCAATTAGTGGTGTATCTGAAGCTCCCTCATAACTCTGACTTTGGCTTGCAACTCAAAGCAAAAAATCAACCGAGCAATGGCTTGTAACTCGGAAAACTCGTAAGTTGGGGCACTCGTAACTGCCAATATCCCAAACTCTTCCTTTAAAGTGTATTGTACTTCCTATTTCCAGGACTTAAGTCCGGCTATATAAAAATAACCGGATTCCCTGAATCCCTTCACTAAATATTACCCTGCTCACACTCCAACAGCTCGTCAGGTCCCAAATACCATTCGTCTCCATTCACTCCTATCTAACACGTTCACACATGCTTGCTGGAAGTCCAAGCCCCTCGCCCACAGAACTCCCTTTACCCCCTCCCTCCAACCCTTTTGAGGATGATCCCTACCCCGCCTTCCTTTCCCTACAGATTTAAACGCTCTCCATGTCATTCTACTTTGATCCATTCTCTCTAAATGACCAAACCACCTCAACAACCCCTGTTCAGCCCTCTGACTAATACTTTTATTAACTCCACACCTTCTAATTTCCACACTTCAAATTTTCTGCATAATATTCACACCACACATTGCCCTTAGACAGGACATCTCCACTGCCTCCAGCCACCTTCTCGCTGCAGCATTTCCAACCCAAGCTTCACACCCATATAAGAGTGTTGGTACCACTATACTTTCCTACATTCCCTTCTTTGCCTCCATAGATCACATTTTTTGTCTCCACATATACCTCAATGCACCACTCGCCTTTTTTCCTTCATCAATTCTATGATTAACCTCATCCTTCATAAATCCATCTGCTGACACATCAACTCCCAAATATCTGAAAACATTCACTTCTTCTATAATCCTCATCCTCAATTTGATATCCAATTTTTCTTTATCTAAATCATTTGATACCCTCATCACCTTACTCTTTTCTATATTCACTCTCAACTTTCTATCTTTACACACACTCCCAAACTCGTCCACTAACCTTTGCAGTTTTTCTTTAGAATCTCCCATAAGCACAGTATCATCAGCAAAAAGTAACTGTGTCAATTCCCATTTTGTATTTTATTCCCCATAATTTAACCCCACTCCTCTCCCGAACACCCTAGCATTTACTTCTTTTACAACCCCATCTATAAATATATTAAACAACCATGGTGACATTACACATCCCTGTCTAAGACCTACTTTTACTGAGAAGTAGTCTCCCTCTCTTCTACACACCCTAACCTGAGCCTCACTACCCTCATGAAAGCTCTTTACAGCATTTAGTAACTTACCACCTATTCCATATAGTACTTGCAACATCTGCCACATTGCTTCCCTATCTACTCTATCATATACCTTTTCTATATCCATAAATGCAATATAAACATCCCTACCTTTATCTAAATACTGTTCACATATATGCTTCAATGTAAACACTTGATCTACACATCCCCTACCCACTCTGAAACCTTGCTCATCCGCAATCCTGCATTCTGTCTTACCTCTAATTCTTTCAATAATAACCCTTCCATACACTTTTCCTGGTATACTCAGTAAACTTATTCCTCTATAATTTTTACAGTCTCTTTTGTCCCCTTTCCTTTTATATAAAGGGACTATACATGCTCTCTACCAATCCCTAGGTCCCTCCCCCTCCTTCATACATTTATTAAACAAAAATACTAACCACTCCAACACTATATCTTCCCCTGCTTTTAACATTTCTGTCATGATCCCGCCAATGCCAGCTGCTTTACCCCCTTTCATTGTACATAATGCCTCACGCACCTCCCCCACACTCACATCCTTCTCTTCTTCACTCCTACAAGATGGTACACCTCCCTGGCCTCTGGCAAGACAGTGTTGGAGTGCATGATGATGAAAGTTTTTCTTTTTTGAGCCTCCCTGCCTTGGTGGGAAATGGCCGATGTGTTAATAATAATAATAATACGTGTATGTTCATATTATAATTTTTTCCAGAAGACTTCATCCAATGGACATAGAGTTCATAAGGAAGGCAATTATGTATGTCAGAAAATGGTTTTACATGTTATCAACAGTTCCTCGGGATTTGAGGTATGTGAATTTTTGTTTCTAATTTTTTATTATAATTATTATTTTCTTCACAATACTGATTTGGGATGAGAAAAATGTAAATTACTTCACACCAGGATAGACTCAAGGTTACATGTCTTATCACACCAGGATAGACTCAAGGTTACATGTCTTATCACACCAGGATAGACTCAAGGTTACATGTCTTATCACACCAGGATAGACTCAAGGTTACATGTCTTATTACTCCTCAGACAAGGCATGGCAGGGCTAATCTCATTGACAGAAGCTAAGAAAAAATGATTACTGCAGCAGGCCTACTGGTCTATGCTAGGCATGGACTAGTAGGTCTGCTCAGAAATTTAACACCGGCACATATGGTAAGCATTTGCAGTAAGGCTGGTAAACTACTTGGAATTATACAAAGAAGCCCAAAGTTTATACTGCTTGGTTGATTTCCTTCCACAGCTTTATAATGCACCTCATACTCAACCTATGGATGGTGGTTAAAAGATTACAGAGGCACTTAATGAGTCCACCTGACCCCAACAGTTTTTATTGCTAAGCACATTACAATAACAATTAACTGCATATTTATGAATTAGTAATGATTGTAATGGGTTTATTCAAATATGAATTCAGTCACAAAAGAAGTAGCTTATATGTGGTTATGAGTTACTGACTTAGGCAGTTGTAAATAACTCATGGAACAGGCAGTGTATAGAAATACAGCCTCTCCTCACTTAACAACGGAGTTCCGTTCCTAAGACCACGTCGGTAAATGAATTCGTTGCTAAGCAAGGAGCATACTATAATGGTAATGGGTCTGTCAGCCATCTTTGATATTGTCTTAATGTACCTTAGCACCATTTATAACATTTTTAATATATTTTTAAATTTTTATACAGCAGTGTATACTATAATGTAATAAACAGAATAGAGGAAATCAGCTCTAATATACATTATTTAGGTATGCATACTTGTCAGAGAGACCATCATAAGTCTGAGTTGTCAGTAAACGAGTACATCGCTAAGTGAGGAGAGACTGTATACAGTACCTAATAGGTTGAATCTGATTAAGTCAGAATTGTACAGTGGTAAGAGCACTAGCCTACTAACTTGAGGACTTATTTTGCCATAGATTCAAATCCTGCTCTGTCCATGAATGATTATGAATTATGTAGTTATAATACCTGGAGAAGGTTTTGGGGGTCAATGCCTCTGTGACCAGGCCTCATGGTAGATCAGGGCCTGATCAACCAGCCCTGTTGGCCGCACGTAAACCGACGTACGGGCCACAGCCTGGCTGATCAGGTACTGACTTTAGGTGCCTATCCAGAGCATTTTTGAAGACAGCCAAGGGTCTGTTGATAATCACCCTTATGTATGCAATATACTGATTGAATTTAGAAACATTTAAGTGGTAATGAGTTACCATATTTACAATAAGCAGAGTCAGTAGTTTTCCAGAATGGTAATATACCACTGTGGATAAAATGCTTTGACATTTCTTAAGCATTTGTGAGTAAGTTGTCTCTGAATTCATGCTTTTGCATTCCATCATATAATGATGGCAAGGTTTGTTTTTAGTTACAGCTACATTAACTAGTGTAAATTCCCACAGCTACCTGTAACCCATCCAAAACTTGGCATTGGTGACATCCAGGAGTCTTCTGGTTTTGTTGTATACACCATACAGTATATTTGCAACTCTTCCTGCATCTTAGAATTAAAATAGATGGACTGACTTGTGTCAGTCTCCTGTTTCAAGCCAGTAATGTTCAGTTGAGGTTTATTTTAGGTTTATTTTGTATTGTCTGCAAACTACTTGTGGACAGTCCAGCATTGTAATTTACTCCCTCCCTCCTTGTCAATTCATCATTTTTATCATGCATTTGAAAGCCAGTGTGAGAGGAAATCCACAGGCGTAGTCTGACTCCAGTGTTTACAATCAGGATAAAACGACATATCAATCCACAGTGAGGCTTTTTGTCAAAGTGCTTTGCAAATCTAACAATTCCCTTCCTTCCTTCCTTCCTTCCTTCCTTCCTTCCTTCCTTCCTTTCCTCCTAGACTTTCTAGATTTATTGTGAGGCCCACAAGGGGCTGTAGGTTTGTATGAGTCCACGGCTAGTGGATGACAGCCTGTTAATAGCTACACTCACCAGAAAAGTACATTAGAGAAAAAAAAGCCAGCCTGACTTGAGGATGACATATAATCATTTGTTATCACTGTGTATTTTGTTTGTCTTCCCCAAGTTTATCTGTTAATAAGATGTGCACTCTTGTTAGTATATACAGTACTAGTGTTCAGTAGCTTGCAAAAAATTTCTGTAACTCTAATATGCCTGAAGTGCTAAGCATAGAATTAGCTTTCCTTGGAACATATAAAAATTGTGTTAATAGAACTAAGTCACTGTAATATTCATATAAGTTCTAAGGATATAAAATTTGTGTTTAAAGGGGTGTCTGTGGTACAACATGGGAAAGAGCCTGGGTGACTACTGGTAAACTTGAGCAGCCAGTCAAATTGCTTTCCATTGTGAAAATTTGTAACTGATGGCAGAAATAAACTCAGGTTATGTTACCTGCTGATTTTTCACCTAGACTATCACACATTATTTAACTGAGGGTATGAATACTGCATTTTATTTCAGGGCTCTAGTGTGCTACACAAAATTACAGTGGAAGGTTTGGCATGCCAAAAGGAACAATCTCTGTGTTCCTGAACTTTTTGAAACTGTTGCATATAAGAAGAGAAATGACATTGCATTCTATTTTAAAGATGAGTCTTGGACATTTTCACAGGTGGGTTCTCAGTTTTTTAATTTAACATTTTGTCTGCATTCTATTTACAAATGAGTTTTGGACATTTTCACAAGTGGAATTTCAATTTTTTTATTTTTTATTTTGTCTTACTTCATGATGTGGGGGGTTGGAATGTAACTTGTCATGTCGAGGTTACCTATTAGCTGAATGGACACAAGAGTAGCTAATGAATGTCATTTATTATTACTGCATTTCCCTTGCCAAAATCTTTATCAAGCCAATACAAACAGTACAAGGAGGGGTATAAAAAGGAAGGTGTTGATCAGGGTAACATTTATGAAGGGATTCAAGGAAACTGATGACCTGAACTAGATTCTAGGAAGCAGGAAGTACAGTACCTAAACTCTAAAGGAGAGGTGAGGATGTTGCAATTTGAAGGATGTGACTGTGATGTCAGCACTTTTATGGCAAGATGGATTTGAATGAGTGACATTGAATGTGTTTCTTCTTTTATGAGTCACCTATGGCCAGTGTGTTAAAAAAAAAAGGCTCTGAAGTTACCAAACAAAACAAAACCTGGAATGGTGGAGATTTAAGTTGAATACATTCAGATTCAGAGAGGAATCTGGAAATTACTAGGTTAAGTAAGTAAGTAAGTAAGTTTATTCAGGTATACACAAATACAGTTACATAGAATTATCATACATAGCAGCATATGTGTAGAGAACCTAGGATAACCCAAAAAAGTCAGACAGAGGTTGGCAGTAGAGTTCTTGATGAGTGGAACAAGGTGCCCAGTGCAGGTGATGTTATTGTAGTAAATGTTTTGAGCACCTTTAAATATGGATTAAATGAATGCAAAAGTGAGAAATGCTTACAGTAGAGTAAGTAGTTCAACATATTTAGCATGGCTCAGTCATTGGCATACCTACATTTTTGGGACCCTGAAGCCTGAACTGTTATGGGGCCCCTTCACAACCAGTAACAGCTAGCCTACATGATACATTAATAACTTTTTAACTTTTATTTTAACTATTATTTTGTACTGAATTGCACTATATTATTAACATTTTTTAAAAACTCCTTCTCATAGAGTAGACCCAAAATATTTAACAATGTGAACAGAAATCACTTCTGGGGCCCCTCCAGGATTAAGGGTCTTGAAGCTTAACCCTTTGGGGGTCGCCAGGCCTTCTTAGAGACTTGTTCTCAGGGTCGCCAAAATTTAAAAAAAAAAAAAAAAAATTCTTATGAAAAGTTAGAGAATCTTTTCCCGATCATAATGACACCAAAAGTATGAAATTTGATGGAAAACTTATGGAATTATGCTCTTGCGAAGTTAGCAGTCTTGACGATGTTTACGCATCGGTGATTTTGCCCACTTTGAGCCCTATTTTCGGCCAATTCCAATGTACTAGTTGACAAAATTCAAAACTATTTCGCCAGAACTCCATTTTTTCTATCGAATGAGTACAAGAAACCACCCATTTACTGATTTCAAATATCCAATAAAGTGGTCAGAATTTAGCAATTTTGCCAATTTCACACAAATTTCAAAAGATGCCAATTTCCGAATAGGGTCCAGAATAAACAAGAAAGACATTTCTTGCACTAAAATAACAAGTTCTCTGTTCGTTAGTTACATCCCCAGGCCCCTTTTGTATTTCTTTGGCTTTCCACTTTGAATTTTTATTCTTACAAAAAATAGAATTTTACTGTTATGCAGACTACTGCATTAGTGTAGAAATGGTATAAATAATATCAGCGCACTTGTGAACAAATATTAGACTCACCAGTTGACGTGTATTGGACACTTGGCATGATTTGTTTGCTTTTGAACTTTGGTAAAAATGGAACATTTCTGCTACTTTGAGCTCAATTTCAAGGTACTTTTCATTGTGAAACCAGTCAAAATCATCTCAATTTCTGTAATATGTCTTCCATTCTATAAAATGAGACCAAGAAAACTAGAATATAACAATTAATACCATACGAAAATACAGTGCAAAGTCGCTGTTTTATTCCAAAGACACGGTCAAAGTTTTTTTTTTTCTCATTACACACTGTGTGCTGCAGGTTTTTTTTTTTATACTGCGCACACTGACCACATAGACCCATTCTTTCATATGTAGGCCTTCCAGCTTTCTCTCACTAGATTTGAGGGCGCTAGAATTTAGGCGTACTAGTACATCAAAAACCCTGGGGCATAAGCCGTACTAGTACGGCCGAAACCCCCAAAAGGTTAAGCTTCATTAGTTTCATAGTAGATTCACCTCTGGGTCACTCAGTAGACCTACTACAGTACACCTTGAGGGGGTTTGGTTATTTAGAGAGAATGGAACAAAGTAGAATGACTTGGAAGCGTATAAATCTGTAGGGAAAGGAAGGCTGGGTAGGGGCTCTCCAAAAAGGTTGGAGGGAGGGGGTAAAGGAGGTGTTGTGGACAAGGGACTAGGACATACACAAGGCATGTGTGAGCGTGTTAGATAGGAGTGAATGGAGACAAATGGTTTTTGGGACCTAACGAGCTGTTGGAGTGTGAGTAGGGTAATATTTTGTGTACGAATTCATGGAAACCGTTTAGCCTGACTTGAGTCCTGGATATTGGAAGTACAATGCCTGCACTTTAAAGGAGGGGTTTGGGATATTGGCAATTTGGAGGGATGTCTAAGCTGTCGTATCAGAGCGCCTCTGCAAAGACAGTGATTATGTATGAGTGATGGTGAAAGTGTTAAATGATGAAAGTTGTTTTTCTTTTTAGGTTTTTCTCTCTATTTGAGTCACTCTGCCTCAGCGGGAAACGGCGACGTGTTAAAAAAAATAATGCTATCAAAGAAAGTGCTTTGGGCAGCTTTAAGGATTGATTGGACAGTTTCATGAATTGGAATCTTAGGGGTAGTTAGTAGGTCTATAGCAGTACCCTCATTTTCTTAGGTTTTCTTACATGTATTTTTACAACTAATACCTTCATTTATTCTAGGTGGATATGCTGAGTAATCAAATAGGCAATTACTTTGCCTTCAAGGGAGTGGAGCATGGGGATGTCATTGGCCTTTTCATGGAGAACCGTGTCCAGTATATTTGCATTTGGCTTGGGCTTTGTAAGGTGAGTTAACTGGAAGTTTTTCACATGTAAATTAGGTATGGCCCAAAAGGAAATTCCTATACTAGTTATGATTTTTCCTACAAAATTTTTGGCAATAAGAGGGAATACAGACACTGCAGTAAGTTAAGCAAGCCTCTTCTGATCAATTTCAAACTCTTAATACTGATGTATAATACTAGATGAAAGCTTAATATTGTTATTGGACTCTGTATACCAGTTTGTTAATTTTATTAATAAGCAGGTGAAATTCATGCATGGATACTGCACTATATACTTTTTAAGTACATCTAGATCAAAACCACTCTCAATACAGTACCCATATATAACTAAAAATAAATTGATCTCACACTCAAATTTATGTTAGGATTATGGTGATACCCACTCTAATCTTATTGTTTACTAGTATTGTACAGTACAGCTGCAGCATTGTCATGATGGAGATTTTATCTCCACTCAAATGGTTTGAGTGTACATCCTGGTACAGACTGCAATGCTCAAATTTAAATTCTTCCTATTTTTCTTTAGCCACCTTGTTGGAGGATGTATTGTGGCTTATTTGTCTAATTTACTTATTTGAGGTTAAATATGTTTTTATAGGTACGTATATGTAATTTAACCTTCCTCATGTCACCCTTTACTTCAAACATATTGTTGGGTGAAATCTCAGTACTTTAGTTTAATATATAAGAGCCCTGCAAAAATTAAGCATTCTGGCTATCATAAAAACCAGGAAAAAATAAACAACATTGGTATAGAATTAATTTATTTTAGGAATACAGCTGTTGACATGAAGGGCATTGTTTTCCTGTGCTGATCTATAGCTCTTGGTGGTATATACTGCTTTTGGGTCTCATCCATGGTGACGAATAAGCGGATTGTGAGATCAGAGCAATACCTCTTTTGGCACTCTAAGTCACAGCCTTCAGTGAAATGACAAGGGCCATGAAATTTAGGTATATTTTGTCTTCATTCCAAGAAGGTGGCCTGGTGAGGAAGAACTTGGAAGACTGCTGATGACTATTAAGGAAAATTATATCGAAGATGTTTCATGTTTTCATGCCGCTTTATTAAAGTAGGTTTTGACAAGAGACTCTCTTGCCATCAAGACTCTTCAGTCCCGTTTGCTCTCTCTTTTTGAGATTCTCTTCCAATGCAGCCTTCTCTTCTCCAGTCCGGCCACTGAAGTATGCAAGACCAACTAGTACTTTGGACACATACCACAAGTGGCACCTGAAAGTGATGAGGGCAGTGTTTGTCCAATGATGATTCAGAATTTCACACCTAAAAATCTTCATGAAGATCTGTCATTTTGGGGGGCTCACGTAATCACTGCTTGATGCAAGTACTGTACCTGATGCAGAAGAGAGAAATTAAGAGGTTGAAATTCTGCACTGCACATATTTCATGAAAAATGGTACATAACTGCTCTCTCTGAAGAGGAAGATCTTCAGAGCATGGATGGCTTTTGCCATCCATCTGGCTTGATGGAAAGCTTCAGGTGCCCTGATTCTCTCACCTCTGAAATCTCCCAAAGGAAAATGTACAATAGGACAAGGAGTTCCTTGTAATCACACCTAGGGTGATCCTTTGGCTTGATGGCCACCTTCAGGCTCCTCATTGCTGTCTGAATCCTGCCATAAAAACCAGAGAACTAACTTGAAATTCTCATCATCAGTTGCTGACTTCCAACAAGATACATTAGTGATTCCCCACTTGTCATTGAACACACAAGGAAAAGGGAATTGAGTCCATACTCCTTGGGGATATCAGGGAGACCCACTTCCAAGACATAGTGATGACTAGCAATCCAGATAATCTCCCAGTTAATGGCAGCCTGTATTTTGTTGCAAACTCCTTTGGTCAAACTAATGTTGAAGGAAATGGTGTTGAGCACTAAGCCTCTTGCATGATCCATGAATTTCCACTCCTTAAGAGTAGCAATATAGTAATTTTCAAAGATCAGAGGAAATTGGCTGCTTTGCTAAAATTTTGATGATGCTGAAAAACTCATTTTACACAATCCCTGAAGATCAACAAGCACTGTTCAAATCTGCTGCAAAGATACTGTTCATGAAATGAAACTAGGGCACTATATGCCTGCTTGATTCAGGTAACTCATTTTTTACCACCTATAAATATGTATCATCCTGCTGAATTATACAAGAGTATGTAGAGTAGAACCTGCCTAACTTGTCCCAGTAGACCTACTCTTGTTTATATTATGTTGAAAGAAACCTTTTATGATGAATTTAATTTTTGTAAGTCTTATACTTAATTTTCACTTCAGATAGGAGCAATACCAGCTCTGATTAGTAGCAGCATACGCTTGAAATCTCTTCAGCATTGCATCAAAATGGCAGTATGCAAGGCTGTTATCTGTGGAGCAGAGCTTCAGCAAGGTATTCACCTTATCATTTATGAAGTTTTGTTATCATTTATGAAACTTTGTTATCATTTGTGAAATTTACCTTCTCCAGGTATACTTGTCTCAGGAAAATATATTAATTTACTACTTCTTACATATACATAATGGTAAATGGACACAGATGCAATTTGTGTGACATTTTATTGTGGCAACGTTTTGCTCTCCAGAAGCTTTGTCAAGCCGTTACAAACATTACAAGGACACAGAGGATAAACCATGGTGCATGTGGTGCTCAAATTCATGGCAAGTGAGTTGTAAAACTCCAGGCCACTGGAGTGCATAAGGCACTGAGCCAGCTGGTCAGTGGCTTATGCACTGGCTTGGAGTTTATGACTTACTCACTGTGAGTTCGAGCCCCTCATGTACCATGGTTTGTTTGCAATTGTGTTCTTACAATTTTGTGAGTCACGATGACACAGAACATATATACGTATGTAGGTACCACGTGAGGTAAAAGATAGGTAGTGCTAGTAGATACAGTAGTAGTAATATTTGAATTTATTGTCTCGTACAGTATATGTAGTAGGAGCTGTAGTTTTTTTTTTTTTTTTTTTTTTTTTTTTTTTGTGTGTGTGTGTGTGTGTACTCACCTATTTGTACTCACCTATTTGTGGTTGCAGGGGTCGGTCCTAGCTCTGCCCCGCCTCTTCAGGTTGTACTAGACCCTCTCTCTCCCCGCTCCATGAGCTTTATCAAACCTCGTCTTAAAACTGTGTATGGTTCCTGCCTCCACTACGTCTTTTTCTAGGCTATTCCACTGCCTTACAACTCTATGACTGAAGAAATACTTCCTACTATCTCTCTGACTCATTTGTGTCTTCAACTTCAATTGTGGCCTCTTGTTTCTGTGTCCTCCCTGGACATCCTGTCCTGTCCACCTTGTCTATTCCACGCAGTATTTTATATGTCGTTATCATGTCTCCCCTGACCTCCTGTCCTCAGTGTGTCAGCCGATTTCCTATCTTTCTCATAGGACTTCCCCTTAGCTCTGAACTAACTTGTTGCAAACCTTTGTACTTTCTCTAGTTTCTTGACGTGCTTATCAAGTGTGGTTCCAACAGGTGCTGCATACTCCAGTATGGGCCTGACATACACGGTGTGGTGTGTGTGTGTGTGTGTGTGTGTGGTGTGTTGTGTGGTTGTGTGTGTGGGTTGTGTTGGTGTTGTGTATGGGTTGTGTGTGTGTGTTTGGTGGTGAGGTGGTTGTGTGGTGTTGGTGTATTGTGTGTGTGTATTGTGTGTGTTATTGTGGTGGGGTGGTTGTTGTGTGTGTGTGTGTGGGTGGTGTGTGTGTGGTGTGTGTGTTTACAGGCACCCTCACTTAACCAAATTACGTTCCTACGACTAGATTGATAAGGGAATTGGTCGATAAGTGAGGAGCGTCATCATCGGAGTTATCAGTAGAGTTGTCAGGAGCTGTAGAGGACCAAGGTAAGGGAGATGATAGTAAAGGAATGGAAGGACTTGTAGGAGTAGGGGTCTGGGGTGTAACTTTCAAGAAGAATCCCATTAATTTGGCCTACTTTGTAATTTTTTTTTTCTTCATAAATTTCATGATAGCATAAATGTTTATCCATTTGCTGTTCCACTTTCATTCGGGTCCATACCCTCTAGTTCTAATATAGCCGCATTCACTTTCAAGAACACACCAGTTAACCCCTTGACAGTGACTTTCTTTTGTACTTCTATTCTTTCCTCTTCTTCCTCTTCCAAGTACTGCTGTGCTTCCAACTACGTATATTCTTTATTAAATCTTTGTTAGTTAGCTATCCCTTGACATATTCCACTAATTCTGCAGTATCTTCCACTTCATCATCTAAATTAAGCATGTTAGAACTGCCATTTCCATGACCAAAGTTCTTGGACAGCATACAAAACCGATTCATCAGAGAGCTGGTCGTAAGTCTGCGCATTTGTTAAACAGGTAAGTCGTTAAGTGAGGAGTGTCTGTATCAAGTAAGTTTAGGTCTTTGAAGAGTTGGGGGATGATGTCAGGCAGTAGACTGGGTGATCATTCGTACTGCTGCTTTTTCTTGTTACTGGCTTAAGGTGATTTGCTGTGGTGGATCCACAGGTGCAAATAGCATAGGTAAGGTAGGCATAGATTAGAGAGTAGTATAATATAAGTAGTGCTGTTTGAGGTACATAGTAACTAGGATGACCTCTACCCTGCATTCCCTCCACCACAGGTTTATACACCTTGTCTACATGTCCAAACTACCTCAACAATCCCTCCTCCTAATATCCAAGCTACAAATATTCTGCATAATATTTACACCACACATTACCTGAAGGAGGGGTGTTAATGTTGCAGTTTAAAAACTGTAGTGTAAAGCACCCTTCTGGCAAGACAGTGATGGAGTGAATGATGGTGAAAGTTTTTCTTTTTTGGGCCACCCTGCCTTGGTGGGAATCGGCAAGTGTGATAATAATAATAAAAATTACCTTCAGACATGACATCTCCACTGCCTCTGACCTCCTAGCTGCAACATTCACAACCCAAGCTTCACACCCCTATAAGAGTGTTGATACCACTATACCTTTTTGCTTTTATGGCTAATGTTCTTTGTCGTCACAGATGCCTCAATGCACCACCCACCTTTTTTCCTTTATCAGTTCTATTGTTCATTGTGTCTCTTTCATATACTCATCTGCTGATAAGTTCACTCATAAATATCTGAACACGTTCACTCCTTCCATACTCTCTCTTTCCAATCTGATATCCAATTTATTTGTTACCTTCATCACTTTGCTTTCCTTTGTTCAGTCGAGTCTTAAGGAAGCATACTGAGCTAAAAGTTGTAGTGATAAGGGGATTTTGAGTTATTTATAAGTAGTTCATTGAAACCTGTACAGAAAGTAGTTTTTCATACTTAAAATCTTTGTACATAAAGCAGTGTTCTCAGTAAGTGCTGTTATTTATATTAAGTTTTCCAATTTTTAGTTGGACATTGGGGAATGAAAGAAGTGACACAGTAAATAGAGACTCTGTAAAGAGGAGTACAGTCACTTTTCATCTTGGGGTAAACATTGATAGAATAAATAGTACAAATTTTTTTCAGACAAAAAGTCTTCTGATTATCATATACTTTGTAATGCAATTAATGGAACTAAAGAATCATAATATTAATTTTAATTTTTAACCAAAACTACTGGTCATAACAAGAGTCTTTAACAAATGCTTCCATCTTTGATATTTCAGAAATCTGTGACATACAAGATGATAAAGAAATCTCAAAACTTCAGGTCTTTGTGAGTGGTGTTGATGAGAGGAAGCTTGTAATCAAAGGTATGAAATACAAAATTGTGTGACAATTTATGAACTATTTAAGCATAGTTTCTATGATCTATGAATATATTATTGACTGAAGTTGGTGAATGAAAGCCACTTAGTGTTTACAGGCAGGCCCCGTTTTAGTGCTTTACTTTTCAGCATTTCACTAATACAGCGGTTTTCATTTATACCCGTTCTTCTTTTATTTGGACTTCCTGCAATAAGTATATTCATGACCATAAACTAAGGATGAAAAATTGTAAGGTAAGTAATGTGTGTACTGTATAAGCATTTTTTTGGGCCTGGCAATATTGCTCACTTAATATATGATAGTGTAAACATGGTATCAGGCTTTTATATACATTTGAAAGTGAAAAAAGGCTATGATTCACTTTACAGCAATTTTTGCTTTACAGCAGTAGCCCACAACCTGACCTGCTGTATAAGTGGGGCCCTCCTATTAAATAAATAATTTTTTATATCATTATCATTAACACATCAGCCATTTCCCACCAAGGTAGGGTGGCCTGAAAAAGAAAAACTTTCACCATCATTCACTCCATCACCGTCTTCCCAGAGGCGCGCTTACACTACAGTTATAAAACGGCGACATTAACACCCCTCCTTCAGAGTGCAGGCACTGTACTTCCAATCTCCAGGGCTCAAGTCTGGCCTGCTGGTTTCCCTGAATCCCATCATAAATGTTATCCTGCTCACACTCCAACAGCACATCAAGTCCCAAAAACCATTTGTCTCCTTTTGCTCCTATCTAACACACTCACACATGCTTGCTGGAAGCCCCAGCCCCTTGCTCACAAAATGTCCCTTATTCCCTCCCTCCAACCTTTCCAAGGCCAACCCCTACCCTGCCTTCCCTCCACATCAGATTTATACACTCACGAAGTCATTCTATTTCAAGCCACCTCAGTAACCCCTCCTCAGCCCTCTGGATAATAGTTTTGGTAATCCCACACCTCCTTCTCATTTCCAAACTACAAATTCTCTGCAGTATATTCACACCATACATTGTTCTCAGACACGACATCTCTACTGCCTCCAGCCTTCTCCATGTTGCAACATTCGCCACCTATGCTTCAAATGTTACATCATTTTAGTTTGATGGTTCATAAATAAATAATGTCTATAATTAGAGATTTGGGATATTGGCAGTTTGGAGGGATATGTTGTGTATCGTTACACTTACATGCTTCTAAACTGTTGTATTCTGAGCACCTCTACAAAAACAGTGATTATGTGTGAGTAAGGTGAAAGTGTTGATGATGATGAAAGTTTTTTCTTTGTGGGGATTTTCTTTCTTTTTTTGGGTCATCCTGCCTCAGTGGGAGACGGCTGACTTGTTGAAAAAAAAAATTAGTGAGTGTGTTTAATTTGCTTTTTCTTTGAAAATTATGAAAGACAAGAAAAATTTAATGACAATGTTTGATGTAAATTGACTAGATTGGGTGAACTTAGATGCTGCTGTCTACAATGGGGATCCAACTCGCCCAGTGCAACTTCAGTATGTCAACTTTGGTGATGACATGCTTTACATTTATACTTCAGGAACAACTGGCTTGCCCAAAGCTGTCAGAATCACGCATTCTAGGTAATCATTTTTCTCAAGTGGTAGTTTCTAGATAAAGGTTCTAATGAATCGCTTAGGAATAACACTTCTTAGAATTACAGTATCTTTTTTTCCACCAGTTTAGCCCTTTCAGAGGCCATAACATAGAACTACGCCATTGAAGCCAGGGCTCCCTCACCTGGTTCTATGTCATGAGTTCAACTCACTGAGAGAGGCTGTGAAGTGTAAATTTTGGCCTAGATATAAGAGAATGCAGTGCATAATGGGAAAAATAAAACTGACCATATGTATGGTTTAAAATAACTTAGAGATGTCTCAGGTGGTTTTATTGGTGGCTTTAAAAACAACTACGTATTACAAATGAGAGTAAGACACATGTGCAACATCTGGGTATCTTTATTGTAGACGTTTCGCCATCCAGTGGCTTTATCAATACAAATTCTAGGACATAACTTGAAGACAGTAGAACTATGTACAGAAGATGAGGTAATCAGTCCCTCAACCTAGGAGTAGGTGCGAACAGCACCACGACTATGGTGCTGTTCGCACCTACTCCTAGGTTGAGGGACTGATTACCTCATCTTCTGTACATAGTTCTACTGTCTTCAAGTTATGTCCTAGAATTTGTATTGATAAAGCCACTGGATGGCGAAACGTCTACAATAAAGATACCCAGATGTTGCACATGTGTCTTACTCTCATCTTGTCGGTATTATATACCATTCGTATACGTATTACAAATTCATGCAAGTTGTTATTAATAGTCTGTGACAGCTTTACTTATTGCTCATGACAGGTATGAGCAGAGGTACGAGATATTGCATTAATCATTTCTCATTGGTAGTAATAAAGAGAGTAAGTGACTGTTTCTTTCTGTTATAAAACTTTTTGTTTTCATTTTCTCATTGTATTAGTGTGTTGAATTTCTTCTTTTGAAACTAGCAGTTTAATTATCTAAATATTAAGGTGTATGATTATATTTCTTCCACAGATTTCTTGTGTTCACAAGCAGCATATATTACTTCATGAAGCTTGAGCCCAGAGATGTGATATACAACCCCCTCCCTCTCTTCCATTCATCAGGGGGCATGCTGGGAACTGGTCAGGCTTTGTTGTTTGGCTGCTGTACTGTAATAAAAGAGAAATTTTCATCAACAGAGTATTGGACAGATGCCATAAAGTATGGTGCAACTGTATGTAATTCCTGCTAAAGAACTGAACATTTTTCTGTTACTTAAGGTTTTGCAATGTTTTAATTTTAATGATTGTACCAGATATGCTGTATAGTCCTTGTGGCTTAGTGCTTCTTTTTGATTATAATAATAATAATGTACCAGATATTTAATTATGCTTCTCATTTATATGTGTACACTATTGCATGTTTGATTAGGGAATTTGTTTTTTTTAACACGTCGGCCATTTCCCACCAAGGTAGGGTGACCCAAAAAGAAAGAAAAAAACTTTTATCATCATTCAACACTTTCACCATCACTCACATATAATCACTGTCTTTGTAGAGGTGCTCAGATACGACAGTTTATATGTCCCTCCAAACTGCCAATATCCCAAACCTCTCCTTTAAAGTGCAGGCATTATACTTCCTATTTCTAGGGCTCAAGTCCGGTTAACTGCTTTCCCTGAATCCTTTCACAAAATAATATTACCCTGCCACCAGGCCCGGTGGCCTGGTGGCTAAAGCTCCCGCTTCACACAGGGAGGGCCCGGGTTTGATTCCCGGCGGGTGGAAACATTTCGACACGTTTCCTTACACCTGTTGTCCTGTTCACCTAGCAGCAAATAGGTACCTGGGTGTTAGTCGACTGGTGTGGGTCGCATCCTGGGGGACAAGATTAAGGACCCCAATGGAAATAAGTTAGACAGTCCTCGATGACGCACTGACTTTCTTGGGTTATCCTGGGTGGCTAACCCTCTGGGGTTAAAAATCCGAACGAAATCTTATCTTATCTCTTACACTCCAACAGCTTGTCATGTCCCAAAAATCCTTCGTCTCCATTCACTCCTATCTAATATGCTCACGCACACTTGCTGGAAGTCCAAGCCCCTCGCCCACAAAACCTCCTTTACCCCCTCCCTCCAACTGTTTCGAGGATGACCCCTACACCGCCTTCCTTTCCCTGCAGATGTATGTGCTCTCCAAGTCATTCTACTTTGTTCCATTCTCTCTAAATGACCAGACCACCTCAGCCCCTCTTCAGCCCTCTGATACTTTTAGTAACTCCACACTTCCTAATTTCTGAATTCTCTGGATTATTATTTACACCACACATTGCTCTTAAACATGACATCTCCACTGCCGCCATCCTCCTCGCTGCAGCATTTACAACCCATGCTTTACACCCATATAAGAGTGTTGGTACTACTATTCTCTCGTACATTCCCTTCTTTGCCTCCATGGATAACATTTTTTGTCTCCATAGATACCTCAATGCACCACTCACCTTTTTTCCTTCATCAATTATGTGGTTAACTTCATCTTTTATAAACCCATCCACTGACAAGTCAGCTCCCAAATATCTAAAAACGTTCACTTCTTCCACGCTCCTTCCCTCCAATATGATATCCAGTTTTTCTTTATCTAAATCATTTGATACCATCATCACTTTATTGTTATCTATGTTAGTTTTCAACTTTCTAAATAATCAAATAGTACTTCTCTCTAAATGTCCGAACTACCTCAACAATCCCTCCTCAGCCCTCTGGACAGTACTTTTTTAGTAATCCAACACCTAATTTCCAAACTACAGATTCTCTGCATTGTGCCCTCTCTACTGCTTCCAGCCTTTTGTAGCAACATTCACCACCCATGCTTCACACCTATATAAGAGTATTGGTGTAACTATACTCTCATACATTCCCCCCTCTTTGCTTCCATGGATAACATTTTTTGTCTCCACAGACTCCTCAGTGCACCACTCACCTTTTTCCTCTCATCAATTCAGATATATTCACTCTTATTCTCAGGCTGGACAATACATTGGAGAGATGTGCCGTTACCTGGTTAATCAACCAAAGAAGCCAGAGGATACTAAGCACAAGGTAAACTGTACTGTACTCATTATATGTTCAGGGGTTAAGGGTTCATATTTTTTATATTCAAGCTGTGCACCAACAAACAGCTCTCAAAATGACCTCCACTTGCATCATTCATTCAGTCACTATTGTGCCAGAAGTGTGCTGACACCACAATTCAGATTACATTCCAACTGCAACATTCCCACCCCTCATTCAGGATGCAGGCAATGCCCTTTCCACCTCCAGGACTCAAGTCTGGCTAACTGGTTTCCCTAAATTCCTTCATAAATGTTAACTTTCTCATATTTTAACAACACATCTATTTTCATCATTCAATTTGTTTTAGTTTTTCTTTCTAAATATTCATATCAGTCTTACTCATACCAAAATTAGTCTGCCTGAAGTGCCCTGGCATGATGGTGGGTTTCTTTGTACTTAACAAATTATAAAATGTAGTCACACATTGTAACCCTTGTGAAGAAATAAATTTTGTATTTGTATTTTTATATGTATAATTATAATAATTCCAAGACATGTCCATCAGATACGTGTAATGTTTGGCAATGGGCTACGTCATCACATATGGAATGATTTCAAGAATAGATTTCAGATACCCAAGATTTGTGAGTTTTATGGCTCCACAGAAGGCAATGCCAATTTAAGTAAGTCAGTCATGTATTATAAGCTATTGTAGATTATTTGATTATATTTGATTATATTTGAAGAGCAGGATGTGAGTGTGGGGGAGGTGCGTGAGGCATTATGTAGAATGAAAGAGGGTAAAGCAGCTAGAACTGACGGGATCATGACAGAAATGTTAAAAGCAGGGGGGGACATAGTGTTGGAATGGTTGGTAGTTTTGTTTAATAAATGTATGAAAGAGGGGAAGGTACGTAAGGATTGGTGGAGAGCATGTATAGTCCCTTTATATAAAGGAAAGGGGGACAAAAGAGATTGTAAAAATTATAGAGGAATAAGTTTAATGAGTATACCAGGTAAAAATTATAGAGGAATAAGTTTACTGAGTATACCAGGAAAAGTGTACGGTAGGGTTATTATTGAAAGAATTAGAGGTAAGACAGAATGTAGAATTGTGGATGAGCAAGGAGGTTTTAGAGTGGGTAGGGGATGTGTAGATCAAGTGTTTACATTGAAGTATATATGTGAGCAGTATTTAGATAAAGGTAGGGAAGTTTTTATTGCATTTATGGATTTAGAAAAGGCATATGATAGAGTGGATAGGGAAGCAATATGGCAGATGTTGCAAGTACAGTGGACCCCCGCTTAACGATCACCTCCAAATGCGACCAATTATGTAAGTGTATTTATGTAAGTGCGTTTGTACGTGTATGTTTGGGGGTCTGAAATGGACTAATCTACTTCACAATATTCCTTATGGGAAAAAATTCGGTCAGTACTGGCACCTGAACATACTACTGGAATGAAAAAAGTTCGTTAACCGGGGGTCCACTGTATATGGAATAGGTGGTAAGTTACTAAATGCTGTAAAGAGTTTTTATGAGGATAGTGAGGCTCAGGTTAGGGTGTGTATAAGTGAGGGAGACTATTTCCCGGTAAAAGTAGATCTTAGACAGAGATGTGTAATGTCACCATGGTTGTTTAATATATTTATAGATGGGGTTGTAAAAGAAGTAAATGCTAGGGTGTTCGGGAGAGGGGTGGGATTAAATTATGGGGAATTAAATACAAAATGGGAAGTGACACAGTTGCATTTTGCTGATGATACTGTGCTTAGGGGAGATTCTAAAGAAAAATTGCAAAGGTTAGTGGACGAATTTGGGAGTGTGTGTAAAGGTAGAAAGTTGAAAGTGAACATAGAAAAGAGTAAGGTGATGAGAGTATCAAATGATTTAGATAAAGAAAAATTGGATATCAAATTGGGGAGGAGGAGCATGGAAGAAGTGAATGTTTTCAGATATTTGGGAGTTGACGTGTCGGCGGATGGATTTATGAAGGATGAGGTTAATCATAGAATTGATGAAGGAAAAAAGGTGAGTGGTGCATTGAGGTATATGTGGAGGCAAAAAATGTTATCTAGCGAGGCAAAGAAGGGAATGTATGAAAGTATAGTAGTACCAACACTCTTATATGGGTATGAAGCTTGGGTTGTAAATGCTGCAACGAGGAGGCAGTTGGAGCCAGTGGAGATGTCCTGTCTAAGGGCAATGTGTGGTGTAAATATTACGCAGAAAATTCGGAGTGTGGAAATTAGGAGGTGTGGAGTTAATAAAAGTATTAGTCAGAGGGCTGAAGAGGGTTTGTTGAGGTGGTTTGGTCATTTAGAGAGAATGGATCAAAGTTGAATGACATGGAGAGCGTATAAATATGGGGAAGGAAGGCGGGGTAGGGGTCGTCCTCGAAAAGGTTGGAGGGAGAGGGTAAAGGAGGTGTGGGCGAGGGGTTTGGACTTCCAACAAGCGTGCGTGAGCGTGTTAGATAGGAGTGAATGGAGACAAATGGTATTTGGGACCTGATTAGCTGTTGGAGTGTGAGCAGGGTAATATTTAGTGAAGGGATTCAGTGAAACCGGTTATTTTATATAACTGGACTTGAGTCTTGGAAATGGGAAGTACAATGCCTGCACTCTAAAGGAGGGGTTTGAGATATTGGCAGCTTGGAGGGATTTATTGTGTATTTTTATACGTATATACTTCTAAACTGTTGTATTCTGGGCACCTCTGCAAAAACAGTGATTATGTGTGAGTGAGGCGGAAGTGTTGAATGATGATGGAAGTATTTTCTTTTTGGGGATTTTCTTTCTTTTTGGGTCACCCTGCCTCGGTGGGAGACTGCTGACTTGTTGAAAAAAAAGAAAAATTTTTTTGAAGTACAGTGGTACTTCGAATTTCGAACAGCTCCCAACTCAAATAGTTATGTAAGTGTATTTTTGTAAGTGTATTTTTGGGGGTCTGAAACAGACTAATCTAATTTACATTATTCCTTATGGGAACAAATTCATTTGGTAACGGCACTCAAACAGCCTTCTGGAATGAATTATGGCCAAAATTTGAGGTACCACTGTAGTTGCCTTGTTAAGTACATAAATGTAACTTATCAACAGGGGGGGACGTGATAACATATAAAATTCTGAGAGGAATTGACAAGGTGGACAGGAACAAGATGTTTCAGAGTTGGGACAATTGTCACAATTGGAAGCCGAAGACTCGTTTGAGTCGCAGGGATGATAGGAAGTACACGTACAGTGGAATCTTGGTTTTCACATACCCTGGTTTTCGTAGGATTTGGTTTTTGATGACTTTTCATTGAAATTTTGTCCCAGTTTTTGTACATCCACTCAGTTTTCAAAGAGTTGACAATGGTATACCATACCAAACATGTCCGCCTGATTGCACCCACACAAAGCATTCCACGCGTTCTGAGTCAGTCTGGTTTTGTTTCTAGTTGAGTGAGCATTACCCTGAGTGTTCATCTGAAACATTTCGTAATACATGTAATCCATTGTTTATTGAGTGGGACTCCTAAATAAGCCATTATGGGGCCAAAGAGAGTTCCAAGTGGCAGCCCTTTGATAAAGAAGGTGAGAAACACGATATTCAAGTAAGAACTCGTAGCAAAGTACAAAAGTGGCGTACATGTGGCCGATCTCGGCAGTAAAAGACAAAGAAGGGAAGTAACCCGGGATAGGGCCTTAATTAATACCTGAAGTCCTTATGGAAGGGGATTCCCCTTCCAAACACTAACCTCTCCAACTTCCTCTCCCCTCCGCTGTCTTCCATACGCTAACAAGAGTCTTCAATAAAGGTAAAAGTGATGTTAAATGTTCATTTATCCATTTCATTTGTCATTTATATTTATTTCTCATTGTTTTCTGTATGTAAAACTGGTTACTCTCTATAAAATGCATTTTTTTTTTGTTAATATTTTTGGGTGTCTGGAACGGATTAATTGGATTTACATTATTTCTTATGGGAAATATTGCTTCAGTTTTCGTACAATTCGGTTTTCGTCAGCCTTTCTGGAACGAATTAATTGTGAAAACCGAGGTTCCAGTGTATTTCTTCAGTCACAGAATTGTCACGAAGTGGAATAGTCTGGAAAGTGATTTAGTGGAGGCAGGATCCATACATAGCTTTAAGAAGAAGTATGATAAGCTCACGGAGCAGAGAGGGAGTGACTGACCCAGTAGTGACCAGTGAAGAAGCGGGGCCAGAAGCGATGAATCAACTCCTGCAACCACAATTAGGCGAGTACAAGCAGATTTGACTTAAAATTAACTGTTATTATTTCTGGTTTTGTACAAAATTTCTATGTCAGTACCTTTAGTTTCATCCAAAATACTGCATGTGCTACAGTCAGTAATGTTATCACATGTATTAACCCTTTCAGGGTCCGTGCTGTAGATCTATGGCTTTACGTTCAGGGTCCAAACCGTAGATCTACGCCATGAGCTCAGCTCACTCTGATAAGCTGTGAGTGGTAAATTTGGGCCTAGATATGAGAGAATACATCTATGTGGTATGTGTACACCACATAAAACAAATCCTGCAGCACACAGTGTATAATGAGAAAAAACTGAGACCGTGATTTTCGATTAAAACAGCGACTTTGCAGTGTTTTTTCAGGGACACTAGTTAGCTGGACTTAGAGTCCTGGAAATGGGATGTACAGTACCTGCACTTTAAAAGAGGGGTTTGGGATATTGGCAGTTTGGAGGGACATCTAAACTGTTGTATCTGAGTGCTTCTACAAAGACAGTAATTATGAGTGAGTGATGATGAAAGTGTTGAATGATGATGAAAGTTTTTTCTTCTTTATAGGTTTTTCTTTCTTTTTGGGTCACCCTGCCTCGGTGGGAAATGGCTGACGTGTTAAAAAAAAAATTGAAAGGAAATTTGCATGAATGTGGTAGCACTGCAGTTGGTGGAGATTTGTTGTCTATCATGAATTTTATCTACTGTAATTCAAATAAGTTCATCACAATATAATAAGGTAGACAAGGGAATTAAAAATAGGAAATTTCTTGCTGGACCTTGACAGTCAAACAGAGAGTGAACACTTGTTATCAACCACTATCAGTTTGATTTTTTAATGTACAGTATATACAGTACTATATCCTTTGATGAAACTTGATTAATGGCCATTTCCCAAACAGTGTATGACTCCTACATGTTTAATGCTTCCCTGTGATTATTTTTTTTAACATATCGGCCTTCTTCCACCAAGGCAGGGTGACCCCCTCAAAAAAAAAAAAAAAACACTCACATCATTCAACAACACTTTCACCATCATTCAAACATAATCACTGTCTTTGCAGAGGTGCTCAGTTGCAACAGTCTAGATGTAACTCCAAACAGCCAATATCCCAGAATTCTCCTTTAAAGTGCAGACATTGTACTGCTCACCTCCAGGACTCAAGTCCGGCTAACTGGTTTCCCTTAATTCCTTCACAAAATATTACCCTGCTCACACACTAACAGCTCATCTGGTCCCAATAACCATTCGTCTCCATTCACTCCTATCTAACACACACACACACACACACTTGTTGAACATCCAAACATCTTGCATATAAACCCTCCTTTACCCCTGTCACTCCAACCTTTCTTTGGATGACCTCTAACCCACCTTCCCCTCATTAAAGATTTTTACATCCTCCAAGTCATCCTATTTTGCTTCATCC